ATATTATCAATACATATTTTAAAGTAGTAAATTAGTGAGCCAAACTGAATGCAATGCCAGCAGGACATTCATTGAGAAATGTGATTTAGATGGGTTAGTGCCGGGGTCCCTAACCTATGGTGAGTTGTGTAATTATTTCATTATATATTACAATGCAATAATAATAAAATAAAGTGCATAATAAATGTAATGCACTTGAATCATGCCCAAACCACGACCCCCCACCCACTCCATGGAAAAACTGTTTTCCATGAAAATAGTCCCTGGTGCCAAGAACGTTGGGGACCAATGGACAGAAATAGAAGGAACCTCCAAGAGCACCCAGTACAGTTTTTAGAAATGACAGCACTGAGGTCCAGAGGAGTTAAAGGGTGTGGCCAAGGTCTCAAATATTAATTTTAGTCTGCTCAACTAGAACAGGATTTCCTGACACCTGATATATTAACAATCAGCACATTCTTCTTGTGGACTTTTAAGAAACTGCTAATTCCTGAAAAATTCAGTATTTAAAGCAAACAAGTTCTAAAATCTTTCAAACCTCCTTCTGTCACTTTGCAAACTTACATATTCTTACCTCCAGCCTCAGAGGATGTGGTGATTTCTTGTTCAAGGAACTGCTTCATCAGGGCTTTCCATCTCATTCACTTCCAACTTCTCTGGAGTCTTGGTTCAGCAGTCATCATCCCCTTTCTCCTACCTTCAACCTTCCTATTTTCAATCAGCCCTCCCAACTTTAAAAAAAATGTTTTAATAAAGGAAAAAAATCTTCCTCCCTCAATCCCTTATAGTTATCCCTGTTTCCTCCCTCCTCCTTCCTCAGCAAGCTTTTTTCTCTTGTACTGATGGGGTCTTGTTACACTGCCCAGGCTGGTCTCCAAATCCTGGCTTCAAGTGATTCTCCTGCCTCACCCTTCCTGGAGTGGTGGGATTATAGGCCTGAGCCACAGCACCCAGCTCTGCAAGCTTCTTAAAGGTAGTCTTCACTTTCCCCAATTCACTAGCAATCTGCTTTCCCCACAACTGCCCCTCTGAAATTGCTTGGCAAAGGTCCGTCATATTGCCAATTACTGTGGACATATCTCAATCATCTTTCTCACACTCCCTCTGTTTGGTATTACTAACCTCCTTGAAATTTCTCTCCCATGGATTTAGTGTTGCTCCCTTTCCCCAATTCTCCTGGAGTTTTTATCTATATATTTAATTTCTCACTTGAGCTTCAGACTACATATAGATGGACAGATTTCCAAATCCAAGTTTCCAGTATCTCCAGAGACATATCAAACTAATTGTGCTCAATTCCTTAGCCACCTCTCTTGAGCCCAGGTCTGCTCTTGCATTATCTCAGTAAACAGTTACTACCAGATATTTTAACTAGAAACCTGATGGTGATGCCAGATTCTTCCTTTCCATCTCCAAATCAATTCCTGTCTTTACTTTATCAAATAAGCCCAAAAGAGGTAGAGCAAGATCATTCTCTCGTCAGTTCAATTAAGAAAAAAAATTTTTTTTTTTTAAATTTAAGAGATAGAGTCTCACTATTTTGCCCAGGCTAGAGTGCAGTGGATATGCACAGGCATCATCATTCCACACTACAGCTTCAAACTCCTAGACTCAAGGGATCTTACTCCTGCCTCAGCCTTCTGAGTAGTTGGGACTACAGGCATGCATACTGGCTTTTCATGAGCACATATTTGTTGAGCAGCTTATATATGTTAAAACATAATTAGATACAGATACAGGCTGCTGTCAAAAAAAATAAATAAATAAAAAAAAATAAAAAAACATAATTAGAGGCCGGGGTGCGGTGGCTCACGCCTGTAATCCTAGCACTCTGGGAGGCCGAGGCGGGCGGACTGCTCGAGGTCAGGAGTTCGAAACCAGCCTGAGCAAGAGCGAGACCCCGTCTCTACTATAAATAGGAAGAAATTAATTGGCCAAGTAATACATACAGAAAAAATTAGCCGGGCATGGTGGCACATGCCTGTAGTCCCAGCTACTCGGGAGGCTGAGGCAGGAGGATTGCTCGAGCCCAGGAGTTTGAGGTTGCTATGAGCTAGGCTGACGCCATGGCACTCACTCTAGCCAGGGCAACAGAGTGAGACTCTGTCTCAAAAAAAAAAAAAAAACAAAGAAAAAAACAAAAAACAAAAACCAAAAAACAAAGAAAAAAACAAAAAACATAATTAGAATTCACCTTGGTATAGATATGAACCTGTCCCTTAGAAATATGTCTGCCATCTCAATTGTTTAAAAATGCTACTCACATACTGAATAATTTCTTTACACTTAGGTCAATATGATTTTTGGAGAAACCGCTATAGTGTTAAAGTATATCAGGAATCATAAATAGACATTACTAAGTTTGCACATCAACAGCCAGTTTTATAAACTTGGTGCAATAGGACACTAAGTAGCCTCAAATTCATCCAGTTTCAGCAGCCAGCCCCCGAGATGGCCCCAGTGATTCTCATCTCCTTGTATTCTAGCCCTGTGCAGTCCCCTCCAACATTGAATAGAGTTGACTTGTGTGATTAATGGATATTATAGAAATGGAAGCTTGCCAGGTTATTTACTTTGGGGGGTGAAGCTAACTGCATGTCATGCAAATATTGTCTACGAGGAAGTCTACTTGGCTAGGAACTGGGGTTTCCTTCCAAGAACCAATGCTAATTTCCAGGAATGTGAGTGATCCACCTTGGAAGCAAATCCTTGTCCAACCCCAGTCAAGCATTTAGATGACTGCAACCTCCTGAGACTCTGAGCCAGACTCATTCAGCTAAGCCACTCCTGGATTCCTCGCACTGAGTAGTATGGGATAATAAATGTTTATGTTAAGCTGCTAAGTTTTGGGGGAAATTTGTTCTGCAGCAATAGATAATATACAAAGAGTTACTGAGACATATAATAACCTGTCCAACATAACTCATGGAAATTTTACCCTGCAAATTTATCTACTGGGATGGGAAAGAATTATAGTCTCCTGGTTGTAAACAGCCAAGAAAAGGTGGAAAATGTCATAAGAAGTTATTTTGAAGAGCACCTCACAAATCAATCTTTGTAGAACAGCTGAGAATTTCCAACTATGGAGTATAGAAGTTGGGCTCTAGAATTTACTAGGTAATTCATTTTTTTAAAAAACTGAGGATGATACCAAGTATCCTGCACTGATAATCACACATGACAGTCACACAGGCACTAAGGAGAGAAAAAACCCCAAAACCTAGACTTCTGCTGTTCCCTTCTCCTTACTACTAGGCCACATGCTTAGGGATTTAGACCACTTCTGCCAAAGTAGAAGACAGCAAATATATCAATTTACCTTTACAACTGTATTTCCTACTCCTTTCATTTCAGGCAACACTGAGTCATGCCAAACATAACTCCCCACCAGTCAAGAGAATCACGACTTCCTAAAAACTACTTGTACTTCTTTATATCTATTTTTTATACAGATCACACTGTATTACACTCAGAATCTCTTACTTGACTAATTATGAGGGCAGGGGCCAAGTTTTGTTCCTTTTTACATGCCTAAGGCTTAGCAAAGCACCTGGGAACATGGTAGCTATTCAGTAAAGATAGCTGATACCTGCTATTTATGACCTCAATATTTTTGTTATTTCTGTTCCATCATCTTAGGCTACACTTTTCTCATATGCCTCTATATCTGAAATCTTGGCTACTTCAAGTAACACTTCCAAGAAGTCTTTTCTACCACCGCCTAACCCCACAGTCACCCTATCTCATCTGAACAGAATCTGGATCTCCCACATTAAGTCTTAACTGAATGAATAAAAGGATTGAGTTCAGGAGTCCTAGTCTCCTGGAAGTCTTCCTTGAATCTGCCCTCCTTTGGTCTATCCTAACATTCACTACAGTGTATTAAATCATCTGTGTGTATGCTTCCACCAGTATACCTTTCATTCTCTGAAGGAATCTACAAAGGATTAAAATATTGACAATATGGGCATTCCCAATTTAGAGTTGCCTCTTTCAACTAAAAATGAATTTTCTCTTTTCCTTTTGGCTTATCAGCTATATCAATTTACATGAAAAGTTCAAAGGCTAGAAGAATACACCGAGGTGCAATGAGACTCATGTTAAAAGGTTTCAGGCATCAAGGACTTGTGAAAGCCAAAACCCCATCTTTGCTGCTGGCCAGACTTTGCCAGCTGAACTCAGTTACAAGTTCATGTTTCTATTTTCTTTATAGGTGCAAGAATGTAGTTTAGAGGCTGTTATTCAGGATCACCTGTGTACTTGTCAGAAATGCAGACTCTCAAATAGTACAGCCACTGTAGAAAAGTTTCCCAATTCTTCAAAATGTTCAAGTTACAGTATAATTCAAGAATTCTACCCCTAGGTATATTCCTAACAGCAATGACAACATACATTACACTAAATCCTGTACACAAATGTTCATAATTGCATCACTCGTAACAACCAAAAAATGGAAACCACCCAAAAGTCCATCAACTGATGAATGAATAAAGAAATGTGATATATCTGTACAATGGAATATTACTCAGCCACGAAAAGGAATGAAGTACTGATACATGATACAACACGGACAAACCCTGAAAACTTTACTAAGTGAAAGAAGCCAGTTACAGAAGCCCATGTAAAGTATGATTCTATTTGTATGAAATGTCCAGAATAGGTAAATCAAAAAGACAGAAAGTGGATGAGTGGTTGCCAGATGCTGGGAAGAAGAGAGGAGTGAAAGGGAGAGGAGGCTGGGGAGTGACAGGCACAGGGTTTCTTTTCCAGCATGATGAAAATGTCCTGAATAGAATAGTGACAGTTGCACAACTTAGCAAGCTAAAAAACACTTAATTGTACAGTTTTAAGGAGTGAATTTTAGGGTACGTGATATATATTTCAATCAAAATGTTATTTTAAGAAAGAAAAGCAATTCAAATTCTCAGACTGACCCCAGACCTACTGAATTAAAATCTGCATTTTTACAAGATCCTTGGTGATTCGCATACCCATTAAAGTTTGAAAACCTGTGATCTGAAAGAAATATGGTCAAAATTGTTCCTCTGGTATTCACAGAATACCAGTTAATCTGATTTCACTAGGACAGATTTTTTTTTCTGCCACAATTGTTTGAGATATATAATTAAACTTCACATGTTGATTTACTTCTGATTTTTTCCTTAAAAATTTGTGAAGTTTTAATATTGGGTCGAACCTTAATTGAGCTAAAAGCAAAGACTTGGCATATGTATATTTTAACACTCAATGATACTACCGTAGGTATATAGGAGATGCTTTCACTTTAATTAAATTGCAAGTTTTGAAGGGGGTGGCAATAGCATACATAAAGTGAACAAAGAAGATACAGAATCTAATGGGAAATGAGACCAAATAAACCACTCACTTCAGAAAAGTTTATTAAAGGTAAAAATCAGATTTACAGAAGTATAAAACAACAAGGGATAGACGTGCAGAAGTTTCAAATAAACTACGCATACAACAGGAAGTAAATTACCTACCTGGGATTCTTTGAGCATTCTCTCTGTGCTTCTGCACAAAGCCTAATCTATTTTTTTTTAAGAATCCTAGGAAAAGTCTCAGCATATTTTCCTATGATTTAGCAGCTAAAGAAAACTCCATGCTGCAAAAAGGGGTTGGACTTGAGAGACAAGGTACTAAATATAAAATGTAACTGTAATAAGCTCTGCTTTCTCTGTTCCAGTTCTTTACATTTTGTGTCTGTGTATTGAGGGGAAAGGGTCATCATGCAAAATGGCTGCCTTGGAGCCAGATATTGAAGGAAGAAAATCTGTTGCTCTCTAAACAGCCTAGTTGTCTCTTTAGTGTAGAAGAAAGTGTGTCAGTCTCATAAAAAGCATAATTACTATTATAACCTTTCTATGCTATTGGTACTCTTTTAAAAATAGGCAAATTTTACTAAGAATTTGGAATGTTTTAGGTATTTATATAGCCAGGTACTACACATAAATATCACACCAAAATTAAGAGTATAGGATACAAACAGTGGTCGTAGATCAGTTATGCAAACTTAGACCAACTTAGTTAACTTCTCCACCTTCCTTAGAAAATAGGCTTTAATAATATGGAACCTATCTCATAGGATAGTTATGAGAATTAAAAATATATATGTAAAAGAATTTAGAACATTTAATTCTGGCACACAGAAAGTATTCAGTGAATGTTACTTTTACACACATGCACTTGTATGCACACACAGAGGTTCTTTCATATAGAATGTCATTCAGATAAGCATGCTAGTTATTAGAATAGATTGTTAATGGGGGAATAGAATTAGCATCACTTTATTAAATTTTGGTTTCTTAAACTAGAATTCTATCTATATTGTATCAATAAAAATAAACTCCTTTGGGACATGAACTGTATGCTGGTTTATCTGTGTATTAAAGGGCCTACCACTATGCCTATTACATAGGTGTGTAATGCAGAATAACTTATTTCTAGCAATTTTTGAATTATACAAAACCATTATAGGTGGATGTTAAAAAACCATTACAAAATTATATTTTACTCTTATTTGATTACATCTAATGCAAATGTAGTGCTAGGAGGAACTTTGAAGCATTAAAAAATTTTTCTATATAGTGAGGAATAAAACTAAAAATCAACTGAAACAAAGTTTTTTTAAAAAGAATTTGAGCACAACATGACAATAAAAATTGGAACTTTGTATACTTCAACAGAATTTCTGGTTTAGCTGCTGAGATGTAGAGGAAAAGCTCCATCTTGGTTGGAACCATTACTTTCTCCACAATACGGAGAGACATACCAAATGTGGTCAAGACTTTTTAAAGCTAGGAATAAAGAAGCTGCCCATCTTTACTAATATGGAACAACTGGTTTTAAAATACGAAACAGAGTGTTTCTTCAAAACAGACATCTCACTTACCTTTTCAGTATATTTCCTTATAACATTAAAGACAGATGTAAGGTTTAGCTGGTAATTTCCATGAAATCAGTTCTTTTCCTCTGACTGCAGTGAAGTAGACACGACAGGGCAGGTTTGGAAATGCTAGAAATGAATTCCTACTTCCCCTTGCATTCTTCAGATCTCATTTCCCCCATATTTCTGCATTGGCTGGTTTCCATTTCAGCATCAGTCACGAAATCTTGAAGGTCAGACACAGTAAACAGGGAAGGACATAAAATTAAGTGATTTGGGCGTAGTTTTGAGTCTCACAACTTTAATAGGGATGAGTCATATCTTAAAGTATGTGGAAATGAATTACAAGTCTGTTCCTTAATGAAACCACGTCTTAGTCAAGCTAAAGAAGTTAGTTCGCTATAACCTAAAATTTTGTATGCTCCTTTCATAAATGTTGAGTGAAAAAAGATGTAATCACCATGAAGACCAAACACAAACTGATCAATTTACTATGAGTCTTCACCTGTGATTTATTTTGCACTATAAATGTGTAAAGAAAACAAGGGAACCAAGAACACTAGCAGACTGTTCTGATTTTCCACTTTGCTAATTAAATTGAAAATGAATACTGTATTTACATACTATTTAAACATCGCCAAAAAAAGGAAGTGAAATTTATCTGATTATCATTAGTACAAGCTTCAAATTTAAAAGATAAGAGTTACTCCATTCAGGCTGGGTGCAGTGGCCCAAGCCTGTAATCCTGGCACTCTGGGAGGCTGAGGCAGGTGGATCCTTTGAGCTCAGGAGTTCGAGACCGCTGAAGCAGACGAGACCCTTCTCCCTACTAAAAATAGAAAGAAATTAGCTGGACACAGTAACACAATAACATTAACAAAATTAGCTGGGCAAGCAGCACATGCTGTTAGTCCAGCTACTTGAGAGGAGCATAGGATTTGGCCCTTTGAGGTGTGGCAGCTAGGCTGATCAAGACTCTACCGGCAAAAGTCGAGATTCTGTTAAAATTAAAAAGATTATCACACCATTCTGGGGCTTGGTCCATCAAACAATTATGGGTGCGGTGGATCACCCCTGTAATCAGCTCTGGACCGGCGGTGGATTGCTCAAGGTCAGGAGTTCAGTGCCCAAGCCTGTAATCCCGGCACTTCTGGGGGCTGAGGCCAAAGGTGATCCTTTGAGCATCAGGAGTTCGTTCAGACCAGCCTGAGCAAGAGCGACGACCCGTCTCTTACTATAAAATAGAAGAAGTTTATTGGCCAACTATATTATAGAAAAATTAAGCCGGGCATGGTGGCGCATGCCTGTAGTCCAGCTACTCGGGCTAGGTGCAGAAAGATAACTCGAGCCCAGGAGTTTCGAGGTTGCTGTGAGCTAGGCTACGCAGGGCACCCACTCTACGCCTGGACAACAAACACGAGACTCTGTCTCAAAAAAAAAAAAAAAAATTAGCATTAAAATTAACAGTAAGAGAGGAGAAAAAAATATTGAATAATTCATCTGGAATTAACCAGGAAATGTCGTTATACTTCACAAAATCATAAATTAAAAACCAAAACTTTCTATACTTCAAGTAATAAGCAAATAAAATTCTTTTTATTCCTACAAATCATTACACAGGTTTGCTGTGTAATGTGTAACTCACTGACACTTCAACTCCCTTTGACACCCACGTGACAGAACTAAGTCACTACTTTGGGAATGGAAATGAGAATAGCTAGATGAGGGGAACTAAGACTGACAAAACTTGCTCTTTGGGGAAATGGAAGAGAAAGCCATCAGTATGCCATAAGAGTTTGAGCATTCTGACCATATAATCAGGCAGTTATCCTTGCTGAATGGTCCTGGATTCCAAATGACACATTCCTTCTCAATGTATTCATTCCATCAGCGGCTCAGAAGCAATCCACAATGAAGACCATTTAAAAACGTGTACTTTGCAATAACCATTATCTATCTTAGCAGCTAGAAAGGCAAAACAAGAGTTAGAGTATAAAACTACCTTTAGGGACTAGGGCAGAATACTAATTCATTAATGACAAACATTAAGAACTAGAAGCAATGAGTGCAATCATTGTGCACTGCAACCTCAAACTCCTGGGGCTCAAGTGATCCTCCTGCCTTAGCTTCCCAAGTAGCTGGGACCACAGGTGTACACCACCACACCTGGCTCACAACTTCTATTTTCAGGTTGGCATTCCAGAAGCATAAGGAACATAATTTCCAGCTAAAGTAAAATGCTAATAAGAGGTGGGTATGGTGCTGCATACCTACAGTTCCAGCTACTGGGGAAGCTAAGGCAGGAGGATCACTTGAGCCCCAGGAGTTTGAGGTTGCAGTGAGATATGACGCCACTGTATTCCAGCCTGGGGAACACAGTGAGACTTTGTCACACACACAAAAACCCCCCAAAATATAAAAAGGGAAATCAGATCTAGCAATAACTGCTCCTGATACCAGACCGTAATAGCAAAAGGCAAGAAGAACTCATGTTACCTACTCTTCACTTTATAAAGAAACACAAAGTCAAATTTAAAAAAAGAAAAGGAATCACATTTAGGATGACCTGATAAAAAACTGAGAAATTAAGTAAAATAGGGTTTGAGAACAAGCTATGTGAACGCAATTTTTCTTAGTTTGCAGTTAAAAAGAAACATTCAAAGGAAAGACAAAATGCAAGTTTCCTTTCAAAGCAAAAATACACTGCTCAAAGCTAGCCAGTGTGGTAGAGCACTTAGTTAAAACTGGTTATCTGAAAATAAGGCAAAAAGAAGGCACAGCTGAGATGCATCCTGGATTAGCTTTATTAAAGACTTGAGAGTTGGCAACTGCAGACATCTATTCTTAGACATCCTGGTTTGTAGTATTTTGTCATTTTAACAGCCAACAATAATTCTTAAATTACAAGGTTTGCATTTTCAAACTGATCATTCTTTAGTCTTGTATTATGAATTTTCATGGTAAATCCTTTTTTGTTTTTTTTTTGAGACAGAGTCTCACTTTGTTGCCCAAGCTAGAGTGAGTGCCATGGCATCAGCCTAGCTCACAGCAACCTCAAACTCCTGTATCCCACATATTAAGATGTATATAAACTCTCACTTCAAAGTTAAATTACTTTTCAGGCCAGGCACAGGTGGCTCACACCTGTAATCCAGGCACTCTGGGAGGCCGAGGTGGGCGGATCGCTCAAGGTCAGGAGTTTGAAACCAGCCTGAACAAGAGCTGAGATCCAGTCTCTATTAAAAATAGAAAGAAATTAATTGGCCAACTAAAAATATATAGAAAAAATTTAGCTGGGCATGGTGGTGCATGCCTGTAGTCCCAGCTACTCGGGAGGCTAAGGCAGGAGGATTGCTTGAGCCCAGAAGTTTGAGGTTGCTGTGAGCTAAGCTGACATCACAGCACTTTAGCCCGGGCAACAAAGCGAGACTGTCTCAAAAAAAAAAACAGAACAAAACCCCACAAAGTTAAATTACTTTTCAGACAGGAAAGGATCAGGAAAAAAAGTTAAATTACCTCAAGCTATTCCTATTTGTGTTCTTCTCAAATAGTGTAAATAATCAAGAACCATACAAGTCATGCCCTTATGGTAATAGCTGTGAGCTACGCTGACGTCATGGCACTCACTCTAGCCTGGGCAACAAAGTGAGACTCTGTCTCAAAAAAAAAAAAAAAAAAAAAGATTATAGGCCAGGCGCCGTGGCTCACGCCCATAATCCCAGCACTCTGGGAGGCAGAGGTGGGCGGACTGCTCAAGGTCAGGAGTTTGAAACCAGCCTGAGCAAGAGTGAGACCCAGTCTCTACTATAAATAGAAATCAAGCATAATTTCCATTTTTTGCCTACATATACTTTCCCAACAATCAAAAGCCACCAAAATGCTCTTCATGAAGCCTTATCCTATCCATTGCCTAATAATGGTAAAGGTGATCAGACTCCTTCGGAGATGCTTTTGCATTTGAAACCAAGGATACCAGTGCTGTTAGAGCCACTTCGGCTACCTGGATACGGAGCAGCCACTGAAAATTTGTGCCCCCAGGCTGACTCCTCATTCTTCCCTAATTGCATGCGTAAGGAATGAAACACTCATTTCATGTCAGTTATAAGCAATCTACATAGAAAGTATATCAGACTACAAATTACTTAATATCTATTTATATCATCTCCTACCTCCCTACTGTTGAGCCTCACCCCATTCCCTGCAAATTTTTGTCTGTTTGTTTTTGAGAAAATATTTTCCCTGCATAATTCTCTTCCAATGTTAGTAGGTATTCTTCCCACATTCTTTGAAAAAACATTGTACCAAACTTCTGGAAATTAAGGGAAAAAATTGATGTTGAAATTAGAGGCAGATGTGTAGTAAAAGCAAATTTCTTTTCATCCAAAGGGTCAATTCAAAGGGGATTGTTTGAAAGTTTATCTGGTTACCATTCTCCTCCCTTTCTTCTTGCCTTTGGTCTCAAGGGTAAACCTTAGAAATCATGGTCACCAGCAGACTGTTGGAGACAAAGTGAATGGAGGTTACTTCCAAAAAGGGTGATTCCACCTTCCCTTTATGTAGAGATATGGGAGCAGTGACTGGAGCTGCTGCAATTTCATGGGCCAAAGGATATAAATTTCTAATTCAAACTTGAAAGGGATAATGTCATCATTATCTTGTAATCATTGGCAAATCAGTTATCGCTCACTCCCTCTTTCACAAAAATACTCACATATGCACTCTAATACCATCATACCCAGCTTCATTATTCAAACTCTTGTTTTTCAATCTAAACTTTTAGGTTACTTAAAAAAAAATGCTAAAGCATCCTGGCATGGTGGCTCACACCTGTAATTCTAGCACTCTGAGAGGCCGAGGTGGGTGGATCGTTTGAGCTCAGGAGTTTGAGACCAGCCTGAGCAAGAGCAAGACCCCATCTCTATATGTTATAGAAATAATATATATATATTATATTAGCCAGCACTAAATATATATATTATATTAATGTTTTTATGGTATATATATAATTTTTATATGGTTGACATGTCTCGTTTCATTCCTTTGTTGATCTTATGCATATATGAGGTTCTTCGACCTCAGTTATTTTTTGAGGCTGCTATGAGCTAGGGCTGACGCCACAGCACTCATGCTGTGTGTTAGGTGTCGTGTGATGAGTATCCTTTCTGCTATAGAAATAAGTGAAGTGAAGAGGATGAAGGAAAGAGAGGAAGTAGTTCAAATCATATAGCAAATGATGAAATAGATTCTAGAAATAGGGGTTGCTGGTATTTGAGAAGGTTAAGAAAGGTGACGTTTGCGCCGCGTGTGGCTTCGACGCCTGTAATCCTTAGCACTCTGGTTGTTGTAGTGGGGTTTGTCTATGCTATTTCTAAATGTGCTTCTCCATCGTGCTTTCTATAAATTAGGTACGTAAGTCTGTCTCTCCCTCGGTAATATATATGATTGGTAATGGCAACTAGAGGTTTATATATAGATATATATGATATATTAAAAACTTAGCAGGCTGGTGGCGCGATGCTTATCCCAGCTACTTGTGAGGCGAGCAGGAGGATTGCTTGAGCCCTGGAGTTTGAGGTTGCAGTAAGCTATGATGATGACAATGCTACTCACTCTAGCCCAGGAAACAGGCACACCCTGTCTCAAAAAAAAAAAAAAAAAAAAAGACAAACATTTTCAAAATGTCACTTGTATATTTACACTATTGCTCCTTGCTTTATGAAATGGGTCAATTCCTGGAAATTCACTGACTAGACATAAAATTTTTGCATACCAGGTAAAATTTCCTACTGACAACAGACTGATTTCAAAGAATTTTAAAAAATTAATTTAATAAAAACCATATATATTTATCATATACAACATGATGCTTACCATCTTTATTACTGATTACTCTCAATAAGCATCTTCTCCTTTCCTCCATTAACATTTTTAAAAAGTAAATTCTTCAATGGACTAATGGTTCCACCTGATACTCTGGGTGAAATTCCCAATTTTATCTGGCTAACTTAGATTGCTACAAACAAGATGTACAAAGCGGAATATTTTTTATATATTTTTTAATCTCAACCTTTCCTAAACTGTCATCAAAATGCTGTTCTTAAAAATTTAAGACAGCTTTGGGAGGCCGAGGTGGGCAACGGGTTGCACGAGGTCAGGAGTTCAAAACCAGCCTGACCAAGAGGGAGACCCAATCTCCACTATAAACACAAAGAAATTAATTGGCCACCTACTATATACTATATATATTATTATTATATATATATATAGTATATAATATTATATATTATATATAAAATAGCCGGGCATGGTGGCACATGCCTATAGTCCTAGCTACTCAGGAGGCTGAGGTAGAAGGATTGCTTGAGCCCAGGAGTTTGAGGTTGCTGTGAGCCAGTCTGACGCCACGGCACTCACTCTAGCCTGGGCAAGAAAGTGAGACTCTTGTCTCAAAAAAAAAAAAAAAAATTTAAGACAGATCAAAAACAAAAGAGGAAAAAGAGAACTTACACATGTGCAGAAGCTCATGTTCTCACACACTTTGCAGAACCTAGTCTTTTTTAATCATTAACTAGGAAGTTCTACTCTAAGTAAATAAATTTAAGCAAATTTCAAATAACTCTAAGTAAAAAACATTGAAGATACCCAGTTTCCAAATAACACTTGTTTGACAGAATAATTAATGTGTTAATATTTTTGGTGACTAAATTAACTTTAAAATTTTCAAATGTGTAACATATTTTGCTAATACATTACAATAAAGGCTGTTTTAAAACTTTATGAATAAGTCACTTCAAAGTTTCTTGGTCTTCAACTTCTAGTCATTGACAAGAACTTACAAGGACATGCAGGGTTCACTCATGGCATGCCTGTATCAAGGTATGTGAGAGATATGTTATGGGGTTTAAATCCAGTAAGGGTTCTGATGAAATAAGAAATCATTTAGGGACAAAGAACTGAATCTCGAAAATGTTTTAGATTAACATTTGCTGTTCACTTTACAGTTAAGTAATTCAAGTCTTCTGCATAAAATTTCACAAAGACAGAAAATAACTTAAAGTCCTAAGTATGTCCTAATGTAAGATGAGACAATCTTTTTGGACCTTAAGGATTAAAATAACTGATGTTGTGTTTATAAAAATAAAAGGAAAGGGAAATATCCATAATTGTTTTGAGTTAAACAGCATCACTTAAATTGTTTTATAATTTTCAGACTGAGCATGTCAAGTATGCAACTAAACAATAAGAAAATTTTCATAGCCCTAATGTTAGAAAATGTTCCATATTATACTTTTTACCTATGTCCTTCTTCAAGCCTGAGTGCTCCAATACATGCTAGTGGAAAAAAAGAT